AAAGCTACACCCTAACCCTAAGTTTTAATTAAGGTGGTTATTTCTAACCAATGGCACAGGTTATAATAATTCAAAAAGAATACTAAAATTCAATTCTAAAATAAATAAAAATATTTACTAGCTATCACTAATAATATTAATAAATTCTGCTTTATTAATAATTTTATTAACATCATCTTTAGTATTTTCATATATTTTATCTAATAAAGTAGTTAAAAGCTTTTTTCTCTTGGCAACTTTAAAGCTAGTCTAATTTTTTTAAACAAATTTTTTATTAGCTTCAATTCTAATAAAGATAAAGATAAACTACATTCAAAGATTTTTCTAGCAATTGATAATTCAATATCATTTTGTTCAGACTGGGAAATTTTATCAAGCAAATTTTGTATATTTGTATTTTGTTGCCTATTTATGATTATCACTGGATTTCTTTTTACAAATTCTTGAAATGTAGATCCAAAATATTGTTGTTTAGTTTCTAACTCAGCATGAGTATATACTTTTAAATATCCTTTATATCTTACTACTAATTCATTACATTTATGATCACAGTAATTACATTGAGCATGTCCTTGTTTAAAGTTTTCATCTGGTCCAATTTTTGTAAAATGATTCTAAATATCATGGTTATTAACCATAATATATAGATTTTTTAAAAAAGCTAACTTTGGAAGAGCTTATGAGAATAATATAGAATAAGTGCTAATTTAACTCCAATAATATATAGAGAGATAAAGACAACTTAAGAGCAAAGAGAATCTTTTTATATTTGTCAAAGAACAAAAGAAACAATGAGATGTTATAACGAATACTTAATGATAAGGGGTGGTGCAATGATAGATGATTCTATAAATAGTAGTGATTTAAGAAGTGATATCGAGAACAATGATGATAAATTTAAGGATATCTTATTAGAGATAGTAATCTTAAAGATTAAGATCAGACAAAAGTAGATGATGATTAAGTGATATCGGCAGTGTTGTTAAGTTAGCCAAGACAATGTTAATTAACTATTTGAACTAATGAATCAGTTATTTAATCCATTAGCTGAGTCAACACAATTGAGCGTGCAGATATCTAAAATATGTAATTGTGTAATTATAAACCAATAAAATGCATTTTTATTTATAGAACAATGTATATACTATGCATATTAAATTTATTTAACTAATCTGATATCTTATGGCTTGACTTGAACCAGATAAATAATCATAGTTCAAAAGTTCAAATTTTGGTATTAACAAAACTAGATATTGGTAATAACTCTAAATTCATATGATAGATTATCAAAGTTTAATAATTATACATTATTGGGCAAAAATTTGTGAATAATAGCAATTTGGTAGTGTAGGTAGTAGATTAAACATAAGTTTGATTTTGAAAGTTTTCTCTTGACAGAGTTTGAAGTTGG